AAAAAATATTGAAAAACAACTTTCTTGATTAAAATTTAAGAAATATTAGTATTGGTATGTACCTTTTAAGAGCAAGCAGACACTGGATACCGCTCATGGCGACCACAAATGGGCAACGGCTGTCCTGCGTCGGTGAAAACCCATTTGTCTAGCGGTAACACGTCGTCATCCTCAAAAATCAGGTAAAGATACTTCAAAGTGGCGCTGAGGAATTGCGGTGACTGGTAGTCAATGAGGTAGTGAGTGGGCACTACATTGACGTCTTCGATGTCAGTGTAACCGCCGTTGCCACCATCACTTTCATTTGCCTGCACATGGCAATGCTTTTGGATAGCATTTGCAAATTCCCATGCGTACTGCCGGTACATTTCACTTTTGGTATGTCGCCATAGAACAAAAAGCGATTGAACGTAGTTTGAGTCGAGAAAGTAGCGCGACTGAAATGGATCTTTGCCGGCCACTACCTCTCTGCCGGTGGAAGTCGTTGTCAGCATGAAACTCTGCGGAAGAAGGCCGGTTTCCGTTGACACTGCAGCCAATCGACAGGTGGCTGTCAGCTTGATGGCCAGAGACCAGAAAAGGGCAGACTGAGCTGAGGTGCCGTGCACTTTTTCCAGTTCTTTAGAGCCCAGCGCTAAAACTGAACCAAAGATGCAGGCTGGTGAAGTCATTGAAGTTGTCTCAATGCGACGTTCCTTATGGTAGTATCGACTGAAGAAGGTAATGTTGAAAGTATCTAAAAAGTCAAAATTATTTAAAAAATTAAAACCCTTTTTGTTATTGTCAAACCTTTTGCTGTGTCAAGAGCATCATATTCATTTTTCTTAAGGGAAATATCTTGAAACATTCCAATATTAATCATAGCCTGAATGGCATCACAAAAAATCCTTAGCGCTTCTTTATTGTTTGGGTTGCCGCTTTCAGATTGCATAATGTAAGACTGAATTAGGTCATTGAAAAAGAAAACGCCGTGTTCTGCATCAACAACTTCTGTTTGTGACCATTTGCCGGTTTTTACATTGATGGCTTCAAAGTAAAGTCCATTAGGTTTTTCAACAGTTTTTATTGTTGTAAATATTTTTCTTAATCGAGTTTTCAGCCTACTGTTATTTGTCGCATCAGCTAAATAGAGAAAAGCCGGTGACTGGTGGCCAATGAAGAATAGAAAATTGTTCCCTGCACTACCTTCTCCATTTTCATCTTCCTCATCGTTGTAAATTTTAGTTTTTGCAATTTTATTGGCAGGATGAAGTTCTAGATGGAGAAAGCCGGTTTGGTTGTCAAAAGCTGGCTCAAGAATTTTCTCCACTGCAACAGCTTTTTCTCGATACACTGCTTCGCCAGTTAAGGCGTAGAGTGACATCAAACTGCCAATGTAGGCGTTTATTGGCCAATCAACTATTAAGTACTGCTTTGTCGTTGCCAAACGATTTTCAAAACTATTGTTCAAAATCCAATCTCGCCCTTCACTGAACTCTTTTTCTAGACCCATTACTTTTAAAGTGGTCATTGCTGCCAGAATTGTGTATCCGGGTTTTTGATCATGGTCAACTTCGGGCATTGGTCTTTTTGCAAATGGTTTTAGTGCTCCATGGTTCCAAGCGTATTGTTTATAAGCTGACCAAGCAGAACGAGCCATTGAGCGAATAAAAGCACAACGATGTTTTAACTTTTGATTATATTCAGTTTTTACTTTGTAAAAATGTAGTCCAGTAAAGATTATTAAAATAATAACAAAGATTGCAGCAATAATTATCAAAAGTTTTTGAGTGATAAAATAATATTTGTGTATTGTTGTTTTGTTGAGATGTAAAGTTGTTTTTGCAGTTGTTGTCATATCAGAAATTGAATTTGTTTTGGCAGAATTTTCAACGTCTAGCTCTTCAGCGGCAGTTAAAGTGATTACATCGTCTTGGTATACTTCAGTGTTACGATAAAATGCTCGGAAATATTTAGATGGACTCATTTTGGTGATAATTTGTTAACTTTTACAAGTAAATTGAGTTTCAAAAATGTGGAAAAATGAATAAAAATTCTCTTTGTTATTGTCAAAAATGCAAACACCCCATATTACTTTTCATTTATCACGTTTGACCTTGATATTAGTTTTCAAAATTGATAAGATACTATTTCAAGCAATTTAGTTACGTTTCTAAAATTGTATTAAAAGTGATAGTGCTATTGCTTGTCAAACGGTCTCAAATTACATAATACTCAAAAAAATTTGATTAAGGCTTTTTAAATTTAAAAAACTGTTTTATACAAGTTTATATAACCCAGAGCAAATGTTTATACATAAAACAAAGTTTAAAAAAACAGTTTTTTGTTTAAACTTGCGAAAAGACTCTCACATAGTCAATTTCCATCGTTGGCTGTGGCCAGTGTCTGGCCTCTTCCATGGTCA